CTGGAGAATTCTGGGAGTTGAAGTCCACACGTCTCAAAGCTGCCAAGTTGGAGAAACCCTGTCGTAGAGAATATAAGCGCAAGGCATCATAAGATATATGCTGACAGTGACAAGAATCGATCTGGCATAACATCGGAAAAAAGAAACATTGGGGAAAAATAGATATATATTCACAGCAGAAGTCTCATCAAATTCAAGCAGGAATGGTTCCCTTCTTCAGTTAATTCTTGTTATTTGTGGCAATTATGTTCTATAAAGTCACCACAAACGCCGCATTAGCAAATACTGTACTAAAACCTCAGCTGGGAACATGCACGTCGTGGGACTCAAATTTTTTGCCACTCTGCATGTCCACGGATGACCATGACACCGCCACAAGCATTGATTTTGCAGTTACAAATCAATTTGATCAAGTTTGCGAATTCACAACTACGGAATCCGCGAATAACAAGAATCGACCGTATATAACATATCACACAGTAAATCAAGCTAAGATACTAAGAATGTGGTTTTTGAAGAAAAGGAGAAGCTGTTTTAAAAAGCTAATAATCATTCAAATCATCGAAATAGAAATGAGTACCGTAAATACTCGCGGATAAGCCCACCCCCGGATAAGCCGGCCCTCGAAATTTTAACCAAAATACCATGTTTAATTTTAATTGAGTGTGTTAACTTTCACAGTTGGCTTCTCTGCAGGTGGTGGATTTTTCATAGTATTTTGGTTAAAAATTTGAGAGGATGGGCTCATCTGCAAGAATATACAGGGAGTTTTAAAAAGTATTCCCTTATATACTCTGGAGATACGCCGAACCCAATTTTCGGGCTGTATTTTGGCACCTAAAATTCTCGGTTTGCCCGCGAGGATGTACAGTAATCATGTCCGCGGTAAACCATAAAAATATTCAAGCAGCAATTAGTGGCTGGAGGGAAAAAACGGCGGAGGGGGGAGAGAAAGAGGGGGCTACCGAAATGTCCTTTTTATAATGTTGTTTTAAATTTTGTTTTGTTTCTTGTTCTTTTTTTCCTACTTTTTTCCAACATGGAATAGAATTTTTCGTTTCTTTTTTCTTTTTGATTTTTTTTTTGGTTTGCCTGTTTTACTCGCCTAATAAAAAAAAGAGGGGCTAGGGAAAAAACCAAAAAATTTCAATAGATGTTTTAGTTGATATCTTTTTTAACAAGAAAAAATGTTTTAGAAATGACCTCATTGCATTTATGTTGCTGGAGATGCAGTGACCTTAATGTTTCATTTAAATATTTGGGAAAGAAGAAATTACGTACGCCCATTAACTCCATAACTTAATATTTTCAGATTTTTTTATTCTTCTGAAGTTTTTCACACGTGGGAGTTGAGATCTGGACAGAGAAAATGGATTTACAGCCAAAAGACTTTCTGTTCAGCATTGGGAAGACAAATATATGGCTCCAACTATTCAATGGTCTGCAGAATTGATTAATATAGATTAGCTATGGATGACTGTAAAAAATCCTGGCTTCCCTTTATTTTTATTTATTTATTAATATTTCAAATTTGTCACCGCCATCTCACTGTGGAGTGACTTATTGATGTATGTATTTCTGTAAATATGTTTTTGTTTCTTTTTTTAACTTCTTTGTTTTATAATTTTGTGTATTTTCCTCCTTCCTTCCTTCCTTCTTTCCTTCCTTCCTTCCTTCCTTCCTTCCTCCCTCCCTCCCTCCTCTCTTCTCTTTCTTTCTTTCTTTCTTTCTTTTCTTTCTTTCTTTCTTTCTTTCTTTCTTT